AAATTGATATTGTAAATCATATTAAAATAATTACTGTGAGAAAAGGGAAAAAACAGTCTCCTCCCTCCTATCATTTCTTGCCATTCTGCATAGCGACCTATATGGCAATCTTCATCAGATCCCGCATATATAAATCTTGGCATGTTTTTATGACTTGCGATTGAATGAGTTTTGTAGATGAATCAGTTCCTTAAGTGACCAGGGGCTGGCAATGTGCTCTTTCCCTTATTCACTCATCACAATAATAAAGTTTATTGTGTTTAAATGTTACTAGAAATCGCGAAAACGCCTTAACCTACTCTGCAATCAAATATTGAGTCATTTACCCGCTCATTCTTCACTGTTGAGGATCGGTGTCATAAAGTTGGAAAAGTATTACTCTCCAGCACTCTTGATTGACCCTCCACAGTTCTTGTGCCGAAAAGTTGACAGCGTTGCCAACCGCTCTCCAGCCGTACCAAGTGGTAGGACATCTTATAATTCAATACGGTTGATATTTATTGCCCTTAGCAATGACCACCAAGCTGTATATCGTACAAAAACTTTAACCTCTCTTCGCATTCGAAAATTCTTCAAACTGCAACTTACGCCAATTGAACTCTGGACGGTATAGGAAATATCAAAGGCTTTCGCGCTATTCTATGAGCTATTTGCTCTTTATTTTCCTAATAAAGACTGAAAACTTCGATTCACTCCCACCACCGATGGACTCCCTCTTGGATTTTAATTTCAACCTTAAGTTCACAGTATTTGGGCTTCATTTATGCCTTATAAAGTATTCCCCGTACTATAATGCACAGTAGACTTACATTCGAGTCCTAGGCTATGTCGTTAGTTTAATCAGAGACCAGAGTACGGTTAGCAGGTAATTTCCTTTCACTTCTGATATAAAATACAAGCTCGTTAAGAAAATATGTCAAAAGATCAGAGACGGGGGCAAAATCAAGATGCACATCAAAAATTGATGGATAATCTTGGCTCCAGCCAGTTATATATAAATATAAATATCTTTATATAGTAAGTAGAGTATGTATATACCCTTATAAATCAAATATATAAAGCTTTTATAATATACACTTATTTATAAAAGTCCATTAATAATAAATAGATAAGTGGTTGACATAACAAACTACCACTCGAAGGGCAGGGCTCAAGTTTTGATCCGCCAATATCCAAAATTATAAAAAAATTAAAGTTTCTAATTGCGTTCCAACACCGAGAATGTCAAGCCCTCAAAAAGCTTGCGAAAATTTTAGGTGTGTGTCTTTGATAAATTTATTAAGCATTCCGCCTAATAGTCGGCAATGTTTGTTGGATAACTCTTTGAACTTTTGAAATTAAAGTCATTACCGTTACCCCTATTGGCATAAAATTTGGGATAAATCGATTTCCTTAGACTTCTCATGAAGCCAATTCTTCAGCAACCAATTTTATCACCAGAAACGGAAGCAGATACTAATCACTTGATGAGAGATCCCAACTATAATTTGGACGCATAAGAACTTTTAGTCAAGCTCAGGGAGCTTCTGGCAAGGTCTAATGTTGTGCGGATGTAAGCCAGGTCACCTACTTTTGGCCAAACTTGGACACTTAACTGAAATTGTTTCACTCAGATGATCAAATTGCTGACAGTACAGGTCATAGTAAATGATTTGTTGTCTATCCCAACAAAAATACAGTAAAAACTACCTGGCCGTTTTTTCAAGTAGTTTCAAACGGTTTTTTGTGCAATCCTTCGCTCGTGTTCAATCGCAACAGTGCTCGCATGATGGTCAGACTCAATAGTCTAGCATTGTCCGATCTCACTTCTACATTGTGAGTTACAAATCACTATCTATTGTAAGAATGATGGTTAACTTTTTCCTTGATTTTTTCCTACTGGGCATTTAGGTATATATGAAGTATCTTATACTAATGTACACAAACATTAGCCTCAGCTGTGTGGGGTAAACGAACGTATAATTATATGTATATAAGTATATACATAGCTATACTAGAAACTGTATATGTTTTGGAAATTGACTCTCTTCACTGGAATGTCAAAATTACGAAATCCATCAACAAAATGAAGTGAACTGATTAGTCCAACCACTTGGCATGACAAGATAGAATTGATGATGGAGTTGAATAAACACACGTGATTTTATATTAATACATATACCAAGTTGAATGTGAATAATAATAACGAGGGATTGACAAAAGTTCGCTCAGTTTGTGACTATCAATTTGTTTTTGTTAAATCTTCAAGCAAAAAATCCTATGCAATTATTTTATTGGACTTCCTTTCCAATTTTAGGACGATCATTTAAAATGAGAGACGAAAAAATGCTAGAGAGCTGAGGATAGGTCAGACGAAACTCCACCATCAACGCAAACAAAAATCCGCCATGTGATTCTCTGCGAATTTCGGCGTAATTTACAGCCAACAAAATATTCAGTGAATGCCAAATTGCATATGGAACGATTGCACCGTCTTTAAAGACTATTTCTAAGTGGTTCCCAAGATTTCAGGCTGCACATTTTTACACAAAGGACGAGCACTGAGAAGGTCAACCAAAATCTTCCACTAATGACGTCGCTGTAGCTCTGGTGAAATCCAAAATTGACAAAAGAAATGATTGCTAATGGATTGGGCTTGAATGCCATGGCTGTAACGCGAGTATTAAGTAATCATCTGGGATAATCGAAGAAATCTGTTCGATGGGTAACGAATTTTTAATCAGGCCCACAAAGAGGCTCGAGTGCATGCTGCTAAATTTTTCCTATACAAACTCAAAAATAGTCAGTCTGGCAACTTGAGTAAAGTCGATACTGGCAACAAATCTTGGTTCTATAAGTAATATCCAGAAACCAAGCAGCAGTTCATGGAGTTTGGAGCCAAACAGGAGCAAACCCACCCGTAAAATCTAAGCAACAAAAATGAGCAGCAAAGGTTATGACGTCAGTTTACTTCACCTGTTCTAAAATCGTAGCTGATGTTCCACTGGAAAAGGGTTGACCCCCTGACGGTAACTGCAAAATGGTACACCGCAGACAGCTTACCAAACGTTTTTAAAAATTTGTTGGCAAATAGGATAGAAGAGAGACGATTTGCGGCGCTACTTTTTTATCATGATAAGGCGACATCCCACACCGCTGAAATAATGAGCAATTTTATGGCGACCTCTTGTATCTATGAAATACGTCCAGCATCATATGTCAAAGATTTAGCACCATGCGATTTCTGGTTATTTCCAAAAATTTGTAAGGAAATGTTTTTAATAGCAACGAGGAGGTAATTAATGCGGTTAATGCTGAACTTGATAAGCTCTGAAGTCAAGATTTTGAAGAATGTTTTCAGAAGTCGATCTCTAGGCTTAAGAAGCGCATTGAAATCAATGGTGATTACGTAGAGTAGATAAAAAAGGACAAAAATTATGAATAAATACTAAAAGAATTTTTTAAATTTTTTTTCTGGCCAACTTAGCGAACTTTCGTTAATCCCCTCGTGTATATACACAGTTGTACATATGTAGATACTGATATATGCCGGAGTTGAGAGGTTACCAATATGCAGAAAATTAAGATAACACATATATTATATTAGACAATCACGAACGCAACACCAACACACAGAACTTAATAATAATGAGAATAAATAAAGCATTTAAACAGATGTGAAAACAAGCAGGACAAGCGAAACAGGATATAAATAGACAATTTTCCTTGCACACATATACATACACACTTTGAAGACATTAAATAATATTTCTCTATCTTGGACTCTTTTGTTGGCATATTGAAATGTGAGTATGAAGAATATGAAATGGAAATAACAAAATGTGGAGTTGTAAATATTATAGGAACACACCGAAAAGGATATGTTCAAGTGAATGACATATTAATATATAAGTTTAATATAGAGAGAGATACACATATATGACCAGTGAAATGTCACTTGAATAAAACCCATCCATACATCGAAAAATATACAAAAAAAAAAAATAAAAAAAGAATACAAATACAAACTACACAACTCCTGCCGGTACGAGAAAGGCTAAAGCTACTAGACAAATACATAATACATATAAGAGCCAGCTAAATAGGGAAACCTCAAGGCTACTTGGGAACGACCGGAAAGAATGCCGGCAGTGTGAGAGATAGAGAGAGACTGGCGAAAAAAAAAGTAAATAAAAGCTGAATTAAGACAACAAAAGAACAATGCAAAAAAAAAAAAAACACGCGAGACTATATGGCAATCTGTAGTTATAACTACAAGCAAATACACCAACACTAGTGCACCATACACTCTCACACACACATACTCGTACAAGCGGCAGCTGGAAAATTAACGCTTTGGTTTGTGAAACCAACCAGCAGATGACTCAGTTGGACGACAGGCATATCCTGCCGCTGGCTATTGCACTCTCCCTCTCTCTATCACCCACTCTTTCACTCTCTCTCCCTTTCTTTACCACTCACTCTCTCTATATCTCTCCCTCTCTCTCACGCCCTCTCCCGCCCTCTTTCTGGTGTGTTTTTATGTAGCTTGCAAGTTCATAGCTTCGGCGGAGGCGGCAATCTGTTGGCGCTGTCATTGTCGCTGATAGATGTACTGCGTAGATAGATATGCAGAGAGTTGAGGAGCGGCATTGGCAGCAATAGCAAATGGTTGTTGACTTACAGACAGCCTGTCGGCTTAAGTTTATTGTTTTTCCTCAGCTTATTTCTGTTATTGTGGTGTTGAAATATATATATTATATAATATTTATATACACATATTTATTGCTATTTTCCTTATTGCTCATTAAGTGAGCTGAGTTCGGTTAGCATATTTACCGCTTTTGCTTTTATCTTTTGTTGTTGCTTTGATTTATGAAGCGCGAAAAGAGATGAGAAAATATTTTAATTGCAAGTAAAAATATGGAATACACATGCCTATTANTATGTAATGTACTAGCTGACCCCGCAGGCGTTGTTCTGCATGAAATTATGTTTTTTAAAAAGAAACAAAAAATGAATTCAATTGAAAATAATTTATTAAAGATTTTTTTAATTAATTATTCAATATCCGGCTCATATCGAAAGGTTGCAAATTCGATATTCCAAGGAGGCAAGCGGTGTTGTTGCTGGCTTTGTCGTTGAGCAGCCAAACGTTGTTCTCTAGCTTCATGAATCTCCTGAGCACGAACTTGTCTTCTTCTCAATCGTTTTTGCTCATTGCAGTCTTCGTGAGCCTCTTGTGATTGTCGCGCACGATGTTCGAACATTCCGATTCGAGCAGATTCCCTTGCAATAGCATTTTTCTCTTCCGTATGGCGTTCTGCATAATCACGTTGTTGCGTTACAGCGCGACCTCTTCGTGGCATCGTAACAAATTTCAATCTGTAATTGATCACTTTGTATGAAGCACCACAAAGTTTTCACTGAATAATTTTCAATAGTTTACCATTTGAGTAGCCGAAAATGAACGATTCAAATAATTTACAAATCAGCTGAAGAAGTAACACAAACAAATTCCAATGGAAATGACGTTTGGCATATTCACCAAAAAACGAGAAATGTTTGGAAAAACAAAATATTGTAGAAAGAAAAACAAATTTCAAAAAAAAAAAAAACAGATTTAAAGAAAAATAAAAAAAAATTTAAAAAAAATAAAAATATTTAAGAAAAATTTGAAAGAATAAAACACTTTTTGTATGTTTCCAATTTTCCGAATTTTTCTCGGGAAAAAATATGTTTTTTTTTATTGTAAACCTTCACAACTTCACAACGAACAACCTCTGAAAATTTAATCAATTTCATTAGTCCAACCCTTCTCGAGCCTTAGCGTCACTATAAACAAATATTAATTCTTATATATTAAAATTAATGAGGTTTTAAGCCCAGATTTTGTATTAAAATAGTCCGTGTAGCATTAACGAACGACACTTGCTGGAGTTCTGGACTGTAAAGAAGATTTAAAGATAGGAAATTCCTCAAATTTGTTTTCGGCTCGTACTGCGGTAGTGACAGTTCTTGGCCGTGTTGACTCGGTATAAAGACCCGACTGAAAACAATTGGAGTTCACTCGCCACTTACGACAGGCGTGCTTTAATCGGGGTAAGCTCTTGGGCCCCCGCAGGGGTCTGTGTTCTTGCCCTCTAACCTAAAGCCAACTAGAGTTGTTAAGGACAACAATTTTGCCTGATGTCTGAGCTTATATAATAGGATTCTTTGCTTTTGCTCATTAACTACTTAAAGCTAATACCCAAAAGTCTAACTGTGCCGCTTGAGAGATGTGTTTCCAGTTTGTAAAATAGAAAATGGGAGAACACTTAGTGTTTTGCAGATTAACCACATTCGAGAGGATAACTGTGCATTATTAAGTTGAGAAAGTAATGTGGATTTGAGGCGAGGACAAACTCCGCATCGAGTTCTGAAAAATTGGTTTTAGAGAGGGAGTACGTAAGTTGATCATGCACAGTAAACACACTGAGGAAAACAGTTTGGAAGCCACTGCGTGCTCCAGTGCCTTCATTAAAAAGCTTTTGCTCTTCAGCTAGTTGATTTCACTGCAAATAATAATCTGATATATCCGAGGGACGACCACATTTAGAAAACTTTATTTTAATTGTTGTATGTTAGTCGGACCAGGATTCGAACCGAACTTGGTCTACGGAATATTACTACGGATTGCTAACTACTCGGCTATTGGGGCCGGTATAAATAGGAGCACCAATTCGATGTTCGACTTGTAGAAGTAGTTAAGCTCTTTGACCTCATCCACTAGAGTGAACCATAATTCGCGTTCACGCCAATATAGGCTTTTGTGATGCTTTCTATGTACATTTCAAATACACTTCTGCTGTCTTGGTGCAATTTTAGAGCTGTGTCTGACCCTTTCAAAAGAACTCTTGGACAACAGGCAATACTTCTGGATTCGGAATCCAAGCTCGCCAAATGACCGTCGATCTTCGATATCAGTCATTAGGGGTGCCTGAAACTCAATAGTTCCTTCAAAAGTCGGATCAAGGTGACAGTCCTTCGCAATGGAAATTTAAACTGAGATATATTTTGAGTTCACAATAATTATAAAGAATATTAACTGATAATGGTGAATAGAGAAAAGAGGGGTTTGCAATATTTTTGATAACTATGTGTCCTCCTTAGACTTTGAAGCCAACTTAACCACACTAAAGAGGGAACTTAACCTCAACTATAAGCCAGAGGTTATAATATTTCAGTTCAGCTTAACCGACAGATGGCGGAGATGATGAAACAAACTACTCAGTATTAATGTAAAACACTTTGATCCTCGTTAAAGAATGTTTCTTTTCAATTGCTTGCTTAATCCAAAGTAACTTCTCTTGACAGGTATGCTTCTGCATTACATTTTTCGGCTGACTCGGCTTGCGTGTCATGCCAGTATCGCGAATATTAAGTAATCATCAAGGATACGCGAAGAAATCTGCTCGATGGGTAACACGAATTTAAAATGAGACCCACAAAGAGGCTCGAATGCATTTTGCTCAATTTTTCCTAAACAAACTCGAAAATAGTCAGTCTAGCAACTTTAGTAAAGTCGTTACTGGAGAGAACCACACAGCAGTCTATAATTTGGAGCCCAGCAAGAGCAATCCCACCCATAAAATCTATCTTTACTTCAACCGATCTAAAATCGTAGGTTCTATTCCACTGAAAACGGGTCCGACGGCGACTGCAAAATGGTACACCGAAGAGTGCTTACCAAAGGTTTTCAAAAATTTGGTGGAAAACAGAAATAATGACGATTTGCGGCGCTACTTTTTACCTCATGACAACGCGCCATCCCACACTTCTGGAATAATGAGTAATTTTATAGCGAACTCTGGGATCGCTGAAATACATCCGGCACCATATCAACTGGATATAGCCCCTTGTGGTTTCTGGTTATACTCAAATTTGACCTTTGATTTGATTTTTGAAAAAAAACTGTAAAAGAAAATTTTTTTAATAGCAACGAGAAGATAATTAATGCGGTTAATGCTGAACTTGATAAGCTTGAAAAGCAAGATTATGAAGACCGTTTTCAATAAGCAGAGATCCGGGTTTGGTTCTCTTCGAGAGATTCATATAGATATTCTCGTGAAGACTTTGGGCTGTGAATATGTGATCCATGTATACAGATAAGTGGTCAGATCAATAATATTCCAAACAAACTTTATATTTTGACTTGGTTGTTACTTCATTGGGGTTTCCTGATCCTTCCATGCAATATCAATTAGAATAAAAATTGAAATCAGTGTGAGACCGGGTCTGCTACTTGAACTATATAAACATAAAAAAGGGTAAATCAAAAATATTTATTTACTTCGCGACACAAGTAGCACCATTTTCTTCATATAATAAATTTTTTTAAGTGCAAAACATTTTTCTACATAAATGCATTAAGACCTTCAATCGCTCAACCACGCTTCATTCTCAAACTCAACATCCTCTCAGGCAGTGCTATAATAACTAAAAAAATAAAAAACAAATACAGAGAACTCACCCACTACTTCTCGCCAATGGTTACCGCTTCATTTAGTTCCGCTCTTATTAATTATATTGCAGTGTTATTATAATGTCGGCGCTTAAAATTCGATCATAAAAATGCTGAGCACGAAAAATAAATATTTGAATAAAAGCTGCGCCGGAGGTGTTAATTTAAAATCGCCAAGTATAATGGACTAACATTTGGCGATGAGCAAATCGAGTGAGCGAGTGAGTGAGAGAGTGTTAATGGAGAGTGATGGAGTGAGGTATTTTCCTACGATGGAGGCGTGCAGAGCAAAATGTCTGAATGAAATGTCCATCATAAAAATTTTATGCGCGAAATTTAACTGAAATTGGTAATTAAAGTGCAAATTATATGTTCAGCGGGCATTTCTGACGCCAACACCAAGCAGCCTTGAGCTGTCAAATATATTTTAATCACAGAGCACATGATTCAACAGTCAATGACGTATGTACTGACTTAATTTATGGCGAGTGCTAAAAATAGTTGGAAATTAAAGAATATTTATGGAATTTTAAATATAACAATAAATATGGGTGGATTAATTTTTATAGCCATTTTTTAACATCTATTACTTTCAACACCAACCACACAGCAGCTGCTTTTTGGGACCGAGTAGGCAATTGAAAAGTAGCGTTCTCTCTTGAGAATTAAATATCAAGCTCTGCCAGGCGGTGGAAAGAATGCACTGTAACTTTAAGAGTATGCCATGCAGCATCGAAAGGAAGGGAAGAGATCAGTCAGAGATGCGCCTAGTCGCACTTGGAAGCACTACAATTGGCTGCGGTCAGCAAAGAGAAGAATTGCCTGCTGTTCTGTTGCTGGCTTTAATTGCGTAAACTGTGCACTTACCAACTCAGATTTTCATTTCCATTAAGTTAAAAGAGAGCAGGCTTACGAGGAGCCACTCCCACATATTCAGCTTAAAGATTCGCTGAAGTCTTATTGCAGCGTATGTTCACCAGAGATGCGGCTGCGAGCAGTTGTTGGTCTTGAAACAAGCGGCTTCCATATAAATGTGTCGTAAGTTGTAACCTAATTGCCTACCCGCCGCGAATAAGCCAGCTCATATGAAAAGTCTTACAACGCCTCGGATTAGATACCCCACTTTTCGAAGACAACCACTACAAACGAATTGAGTACTATAGTTTAAGGGCATACACTTGGTCATTTCATTAGGAAGGTGCCGCTATTCAGCTCGTTGATATCCTCGTCAGACTTAAGGCTGGCATCACTGCCGTTCGAGTACTTCTGGGTACGCAAAACAGCTTGTCTAAAACCGCATGGAAGGTTCGACGTCGAAAAGCTGCAAACACAACTGTTAGTCGAATGGTGGAACAGTTCTCTAGAACTGAAGAGGCAAGCAATCTTGTTCCGAGATGCGTGATTATGATAAGCTGGAGAAGCTTGCCTACACGTAAAGCTCCAAAAACTTACGAATAGATAGGCAACTTCCAGAAGCTTAAATACTGGATAAACTATTTTAGAACGCAGAGAGTTGATCTAGCGACTGATTCACAGAGATTACTGAATTTATGCGGGGACCACTTGGAGATGGTCAGCCCACTTTGCTTTTCGATGACAATGGAAGAAATGTTTCATTGCGCGAAAACAGTGAAGCTCGAAAAAGCTTGTGAAATATGGCAATGTGAAAGCTCTGCCCATTCCATGAAAAAGTGGATCCCACAGTCACGTCAATTACGGTAGAATAGACCTTCTTAATAGCTCCTCATAAGGACATATCAAGCGTATTGTATGAAAAACTACCGCTAACTAAACCAGCAAATCAACTATTGACCATATGCTCTCAATGCGCCAATCCTTGAAAAAGACCCATGATAAGAGTGTGGGCACACCAACTCTTCGACGATTTTACTGTAGATGTCCAGGAGAATAGAGTTGTCCCTCAGATTGCTGTTTTGCCGATCAGTCTATTCAGGGTTGGTAATTCAAAAAGCCAGGATTTATAGTATGGTCTTCAAGAATGGAGTTGATATCATTTTTGAACGAAACAAACGCCTTCGTTGTGCGGGAAAAAAGTTTTAATCTACTCCCCGGTATTGCTCGCATT